ATACCATAAGAAATCTGTTATCGGTAATCCAAGAACTCGTACGTCCAGTGTATTCTTCAACTTACGCGACGAAATAACGAAAGACGAAACACTCTTCGGTATCGATGACGATGGCAGTGGGTGTGGCACAGGATGCTGCGCGGAATGCACTCGAAATGATTTTGCGGGAATAGTGAGTACGAGGCGAGTGGTACAGAGAGGGTGGATTCGAAAAGAATGAAATAACGGATTGGGTTGCGGCCAGCTGGCTGTGTTCCAACCAATCCTTCGTCGTTCGGATGCGACTGAGACTATATTATGTATACCATTGAACTGTCTTATATTCGTAGAATTGCCCCGTTGCATCCCATTCAAAATCATATTTTTCTGTGAGATTGCAAGCAACTATAGGAAAAGGAATAAGGCGTGTAGAATGAGCGCGAATCGATTCGAACGGGAGTCTAGCGACGTTTTACATCTAGTGTTTGTAGCTGAGAAATTATGTGTTCGCTTCAACTAGATACAATTATGCGCACGAAAAAGTTTCGATAGCATATTTTCTAACTTCAATCCTAGTCTTGAACGTCTCTTTAAAACGTGTATTTGCTTTTGCTGTAGCGATTTTTGTCAAGAATCGTCTCGAGATAGAATTCGGTATGAAACTTCTTTTCGATGATCTATAGACGCGTAGACTTCTCTTATAAACTTCACAATTCACAATAATGTTTCTAAAGTTATATATTCTTGCATCTCGGGATATTCGAACTTTCAGACGTTAAAAATACAAAATGTTCTATGAACTTTAGCGCCATTCAACAGTTAGTACAACTTTTGCACTGATTCAATACTTTATTGCCGCATTCCTGGGTACATATATTTATAATCGTACGTCTGAGCGATTTCCATTCACGATTATGCTTTTTCTTCAGACGGTGGTTCCCAAAGGAGCAATTAAGAAACGGTAAGAATGAATGATGGTATATATATTTGAGCGTGGGTGAATCGATTCCTTAGAACCTCGTGACCATTTCATTAAGAATTCCGGAACAGTACTCGAGACGTTGCTATCACGATAACGGGTTTATCTTTTCGATAAGTAATACGGTGCACGTGGGGAGTATCAAGTAATGTAAATGAAGAAAATTCGACATTTTGGATTTATACTGTTAGGAAAAATATTTTACCATTTATATCATTCGAAAAAATTTATATTATATTATATACATTTTTATAAGTTTGTATATATTTCTAAACAAATAATTTTATAATTAGAGATTAATTGGCATTATACATATAGTAATAAGAAATAAAAGAAATAAATTATTAGCAATTTTACGAATTGTTAGAGAAATGTTTAGATGAAAATTTCAGAATGATAATTAAATATGCTTTCTAGCTGAAAGTCGTATTACTCATTGATATTATTCCCGTGGGAAAGACAGGGATGTGATAGCAACTCCTCGAGAATGAACGACCCACCTCGATTCTTGGAAATCTCGTGACGATTTCATTAAGTATTCGAGAGGGAAATCCTGAGGTTACCTCTTCTCATTATTAAGGAGAAGACATCCGAAGTTATCAGAAAATATAACCGAAATGCTTACAAAGTTTTCTCTCTAATATTATACAAATCAGTATTTTTAAATGATAGAAAAAATATATTCACCGTATTATAGTTACAAAATTCTTTGCTAAAGAGAGAATAAGTTTTTCTTTGTATGCATGTGTCTACAACTTTCGGTAGATATTAAATGAATCTAACAGTACTTTTTAAATTAAAATATGGCACGGAATTGTGCAATTGCTATTTCTTCAGATAAAAGATGACTACCAAGTAAAAATGTAATCTAGTTTAAAAGAGAATTTTAAATTAAAATTTCACAAGGTATTATTCTTGTAATATTTGTGCTATCGCGAAATAAACAATAAGTTCACAAAGAATTTCCGATAAAGACAATTTTAATAACAGAAAGGCGAAATATTTTTTTTTCTTTTGTTTTTATTATTTTCTTGAACAAGTTTTGGTTCGTTGTAGGATTACATAAAAATAATGCAACGCCAACAAAATACGGTGATGTTAAAGGGCTCGACATAGTCTCAAGAATTCTGCAAGCAAACTTCCCTTAGATCTTTCTCGTTATCACACAAGGCACGCACTCAAGGTAGAATACTCTATTTTGTAAAATGTAATGCGGTCTCTGAGCGCATCGACCTTTCCTACAAATATTTTCTTGCCAATGTAAGTTTGTACACGTCTGATTAAATAAAGAAAATGAATATACGGTGTGTATTAAGAAATTAAGTCTGCAGCACAATAGAATTTTTATTTCGAAAAGAAAAGTCGGTACTCTGCACAATTGACTTACTTTTAATGCACAAAATAAGTATGAATTAATGCTGTGAAGTTCTGTAATTAACTTATTTTTACTTTATAATGCTACTCATTTGGGTTTACATAATTATTACTTCAACGTTAAACTAATTTATCTGCGATTCTTTGATCGATGATTCTAATAAATGCAAGAACAATCTTGTATTTGCTATTAGGTATAAATAAAAGAGTTAATAATCAAAATAAATTAATTTGGAATTTTTTAAATTTATTTATTTGAATCAGCGGCCAAAAAATCATTATAGGAAGCTCTTAGAAAATTTAAAGCTTTTAGAATTCTAAATTAACGAACTAATCAAGACAAAGGTGAAGCGGCATATAATGAAGAAACATTTAATTAAACTATCTTCACCTCGTGTATCTTGCTTTACTCTAATGACGAAAGTTGTTTAGTATTGTTTTCCTATAGCGTAAACATATAAAAAAGTCCATTTTCTGAGGGAAGCTGCAAAAATAAGTATCGCGTCAATTAGCGTTCGAGTCCATGGAAAAAGTTGGCGTTTGTCCTATTAGTTAACGCAAATGGAACGGAATCGAAAGGGGTGTAAGACAAGCGAGATAGGACGTCAAAGGCCTGGGGTAGACTCGTTCATAATTAGCTCCTGCTAGTCTATTCAAGTCTCCTTTAACGCGACGCCACTTGGAAGTTTAATCGTATGTCATGATCGGTAAGTTGCGATAAATCCAAGTAGAGGTACGAAAATTTGTTTCTGATAGACATCTTAAGTAAGTCTAAGAACGTATCCCTTTGATGAGAAAATTTCTATGATTAATATATTCTCTTCTAACGTTTTGAATTTGTTATATTGTGAAATGATGATCTAAAATGGAACTTTTATTAGTCATAAAAAGAATTAGATTAATTAAACATCTTAATTGTTTATAATCTCGATAAATTATTGTTTTTAATTATAAATTCTGTATCTAGATGCTCACATATATAGCTTTTGTTTATATCGAGATTATAAACAGTTAAGATGTTTAATTAATCTAATTCTTTTTATGAACAAAGTTTTAAGTATATTTACATCATTGTGTAGAATATTTAAAATATCGCATCTAACATCACAGTTTATTGGAAACTATACATATTTGTATTTTCAATCTTTCAAAATTGCGGGATAACATAAAAATTCATTCTAAAGCTTTTGTACGAAAAAATTTTCAGAATTTTCTGTAAGAATTTTCTTTCACAATTTAAATTTTAAAGAATATCCCGCAAAAGTAATGTTTGCCTTCGGAGTAATTTATTTTACTGCATGAGATGTCAGAATATATTGCACACTTAAATGCCACTATACAGTTACGATGGCGACTCGTTTTTACAGCAACTATTTATCAACATTTTATTATCAACATATTTTCTGAACATGTATAGCGAAATTCCAAAATAATTAATCATTTTAGCACAACATTTAATAAACCTTAATCGATATGTCAATATCTGTACATATAACTCGATATTAAAAATGTTAACTTTATAAATTTGTCTTTATATCGAGAAAAACTATTTAAATTTCTTGCAACTTGCAAAGTTTATAATTAAATTTTTTATTTTATTATTAATTTGAAATAATTTTTGCTTAATATTTTATTTAATAATTACAAAATTATGTTTTTGTGCAATTTTTTAATAAACTACACAATTTATCAGGATTAGAAATATATCTTAATTATTTTTACATAATAATTTGGCAAATAGACATTAACATGCGAGATTGAATTAATTGCATCATATATTAATTATAAAAGAGTAGATAGACGCCTCTCTTCGTAAGGGTTGAGCAGCATTAGGGACAACTTAATTATCTCTAAATTATTGCAGGGAAGGGATAAACCGACGGGTTTACTTCAGGGACATCAATGCTCTGATATTAGTTTTATGTTTACATATTTCGCAATATTGTTTAGTCTCTGGAGTAAAGAAAGACAAATGTTTTATATGTATCACATGGAACTCAATTCGCTCAATTCATTCGCTCTGGAGAACATTCCATGAAATTCCTAAGAACGGAGCGGACTTTAAGTAAAGTACTCCGATCGTGCAACGGTGGCGCATTTTCCGCTATCTTCGACACAAATCGAGTTAGCATTCTTCAGATTACAGTAGTTTATCTCAATTGTATTAAATAATTATTTATTTTGATAAAGAGTATGATTATGTATACCTCAAGTCAATCAGAAAAAATGCGTTTGACATAAAGTTAAATTAAGAAGTATTGTAACTAGCGCCATTGTGATATAACAGGATTACATTAATAGTGAAAAAGACTGCTGTATAAAATAAATAAAAAAAATAAAAAAAATGTAGAAATAAGAGAGGGACCATTCGAAAAATATACTGACAATGAATATATATTTTTTTCGATGGTCTACTTATTCTTGCGACTTATATTTTTCAACGTAAAAATGACATTAAAATAATTATACCTTATCGTTTAATTGTTATCGAACATATGTATCAATTATTAAATACATTCACCATTACATTTTTTAAATAAGGCAAACATTTGAGCTCTTTAAAAGTCTACAAATTGATTTAATTAATTTGCTGCATAGAATCTACCGATTAAATCGGTCTACTACATTCCATCATGGAAAGATTAACGTGAATCATTATTTTTTATAGCGCCGACGAGGGTTTCGATGGCACTTACCCAACGAATGTCGTCGTAAAGAACAATGGGACCTGTTTGTACGTGCCACCCGGTATATTCAAGAGCACTTGCAAGATAGACATTACCTGGTTTCCCTTTGATGATCAGCGCTGCGAGATGAAATTCGGCTCCTGGACGTACGACGGCTTTCAGGTGAGCATAGAGGATAGGCATTATCGGAATTGGGTCAACCAATCGTCGTTCCTTGATATGTTCGCCCGACATTGACGTCGAACTTACGAATTTTCCAATCTGTCGGAAGCACGTCGGCACTTCTCGATACGTCTCGGGACGCGGAAATAATTTAAAGCGACGGCGTCGAAGAGTTTGATTAGCGCCTGAGAACGGGTGAAAGACGGGAAGAGAAGGAGGAATCTTCGCTGTTTGCCAATGCGAGATTCGCTCTGGAGAACATTCCATGAAATTCCTAAGAACGGAGCGGACTTTAAGTAAAGTACTCCGATCGTGCAACGGTGGCGCATTTTCCGCTATCTTCGACACAAATTGAGTTAGCATTCTTCAGATTACAGTAGTTTATCTCAATTGTATTAAATAATTATTTATTTTGATAAAGAGTATGATTATATTTTAAATAGGAAGATAGATATACATATAGAGAGGGAGAAAAAGTAAGAAAGAGAAAAAGTGAGTTTAATGTTTAATAAATAATTTCTTTCTACAATGTAAAATTGATGGATTCTGGATCTCTAAAATTATTTTATTTATTTTAATTATCTCAATTATATGACAAGAATTATCGGTAAATTTTTCTTTCTTTATATTTTGTAAATTTCATTAATTTTTATTTTTTATGCTAAAAATATTAATATGCATCAGTACATCTAAAATACATTTCCTGGAAAATGTATAAAAAACATGAATATTCTCGATCTTCTTATGTGCGTTCTAGAAATACCACAACGGACATAAAATGCATTCGGCATTTCGTCGAAATATCACCAAAAGTATGGGCGACAAACGTCATTTTAAAATGAATTGCAGGAAATTTGCGAATCGTGGAAGAAGCGTTTAGAGGACAATGAACGTGAGAACGACATTCAGAATTCTCGCCTACGTGATTTCACTATCATTTTATTCTTCCAACTCAATACAAAAAAATTCTTTTTAATATTTTTGAAAGATATTATAAAAGCAAAATTATAGTAACTAATTATTTTAAAGAAATTGTGTTGAAAAACATTGAAAAATTTATATAACAATTTTTGAATCAATTTATATCCTATAAAGAAGTGTTAAATTAAAACAAATTAATAAATGAATAATGAGAAAACCAATTAACAATCAATAATGAAGCATTAAAAATTTGATTTTTATATAATAAACTTAATTTTTGTATAACAATGAAAAGAAAATATGATACATTATGATATATCAGTATTTTACCATAAAAACAAATATTATATCGAAATTAGTGACAGAATATCTCTTCTCTCTCTCTCTCTCTCGATATTTAAAATTTTATATATTTATCAGTAAACAATATTTAATTTTAAAAGATAATTGCTGTACGATGGTTGTATGATGATACGATTATGATCATTATAATAATGCTATTATTAAGAGAAAAGTGTAATATTGATTTCTCATAATAACATGCGTTTCTACCATACAACTAATGTACACGGCAAGTTTAATTGTCGAGCGTGCAACTTTGGAATAATTAAAATTCAAGAAGCGAATTACATAGTGCCGGGCAATTCGAGAACACTCGGGGGTTCATTAAGGAGGACAATAAGCAGAACGTAATTGAAGCGCGACGCAAAAGCAAGGGAGATAGCGGAATGCGCCACGATTTTCCCGAGTTTGGTTCGATCCATTGAATACGAACGAAATGCAAAACAGACTTTTCTGATAATCGTCTATTCTCACTTAACAATCCGTATACCCCAGCTATTAATTCGCTATAGATTACACCCAAACGCCAAACGAGAAAAACTTCGCATTAATATTCGAACGCGCAGAAATTGCAAAAGATTGCGAGAACTTCATATTGGCTGTAAATATGCATGAATTCATACGAGTTGCATCAACAAAAAACTATATAAAGTCGATCATATGCAATCAAAAAGTCGACAGAGCATTTATAATAGCATATAAATAATAAAATACCATTCAAATACATTATATATATTTTTGTGGTCTGCATCTTTTTCTTTTCTTTAATACTAATTTCTTCAATATGCTGATTAAAAAATACGTGTATATTTAGAGAGTACGAATAGATAAGATTATTTTTTAATAATTTTAAAAATAAACTATAAAATGAATTAAATTTTTTTGTAGGAATCATAATTATATAAATTAATACCTTATAAATTGATATTGAAATACAAACAGATCCAGATCGCAGTTCCTCTTCATTTCAACAATATCTTGATGTTTCTTTTAAAAATGAAGAAACAACAGATTCTGTATCTCACAATCAGTCATTCTATATAAAATAGATTTTCCCGTCATTGTTGAAACACAAAACAGCCGTCTTACGTGCGGTGTGAGTGCAATAAGTTTTCGCTAATCGACCGTCATAAATTGTCGACAGTTGGATCTGCAGCTGCAGGACGAGGCCGGGGGTGACATCAGCAGTTTCATCACTAACGGCGAGTGGGATCTGTTGGGTGAGTTTTTACAGTCCTTATCGAAGGGTACCGTCGCCACGCCCGGATAGTTTGCACCGAAAGTGATTCCCGGCCGATTAGCAATTCTAAAGTCTTGCACGGCCACGGGCGGATGATCAATCGTTTCGCAAATCGGAAACGGTATTGATCCTCGCTTTGTCCCTGTCAAAATTGCCTGTATCTGGGTCAAACGGGGGGGGAAGAGGAGAGGGAACGCGCCCCAAGTTCAGTGTTTTCGTTGGCGAACACACATCGGGCGATCGGTAAAGTGTCGGAATTACGGCGAAGTGTCTCACTTGAAAAGCGAATATACCAGTTTGTCACAATTGCTGAATAATTGCCTGAGAATTTATTAAAAGTCAAAATTTTTAAATTTGAGTATTTTACTTGCAGATATTTACACACCATTTTTTATCGTGGATTTATATTTTATTTTATATGCATGTTTTATAGATATTACACAATTATTAGTCAAAATTTAGCCACGCGAAACTTTTGTCTCACAAATTAAACATTCCTTTGTATTCGATTTTATTCTGATATCAATAAAATTCGTAAAAAGATTAGTAAAATTAGTTTCCGTATACATACATATATATATATATATATATATATATATATATATATATATATATATAATGTATATATATATTAGCTTGCGTTCTAATTTGACAACCTATATGTAAAGAGCTGTCAATTACAATGATGAAAATAAAATTTTATTTTTGCAATCAGATATGTCAATAATAAATCTTTGATACCTATTGCTAAATTTAAAATTATGTTATATTTTTAGTACGATTTAATAATAGAATACGATTAATTTTTATATAAATAATAATTTTCGATTAATAATATTTGTAATAAGAAATTGTAAACGCTATCTCTTGTTTACACATATTACAATGTAATGGCTCGAAAATAAACGTGTACACATGAACTGCACGTATATAGTATAGCCTCATATATTGGAATTGTAGTAGAAAAATACAGAAACATCTAGTTCACATTTCTTGAGAAGAAAATAACATAATTATGATGATATATTGTTCGATCGTATGTCACTTGCAGTTGATAAATTCATTGTAGATAAATTCAAGAAACGCGAGCGCACGTAGCGTCTTTATCGTCACTCTAACGCAAGAGCAAGAACATTCGCTTCTCGTATCTCATGTATCTCTCGAAAAATTGTACGATGCATTACGCGTGGGAATAGCGTAGGTCGGCGTACACGTGTAATGTATGTGCTCAAGTTATGAGACTTGCGGTAGAAATGTATCTTAAGTAACTACGGCTGGAGCAGAGCGCACCGTTTTGTACCCGGAGGAATAACGTAAGATAGAATCGTCCGTTTTTCTCTGCCCTGTTACACGGGATAATTCAAGGGAGTAGAGTAGAAGAATGTTTCGCTTCCGGCAATCTTTTGTTACGCTCGACAGCGCATTTTATTTTATTGACAGTATCGATTATTTCTACACGTGTGCGCGACGTCATAAGTGCAAGCGCTAGGATTCAATATCCGTTTGAGGATTTTAATGTAAAATACAAATTTCAAGGATCTGTGTATATTAATTATCGAGGACCATTTACGAAACAATAGAATAATCATTTGCTTAAAATGTCAGTCAGGATATTGATGTCTTTTAATTTCTCAATCTTTAATCTATTCTATAGATATAATTTTTTAATCCTAAAGTGCAAGCTTCCCTTTCAAGATTTAATATATATAGATATAGATTTTTCTACATTTATAACTAGAAAAGCAGAAAAAAATGATTATTGCATCTCGATAGTTTTGATTCTTTGGTTGCGTTTTCTGCACAATAAAATATATGAATATAAAAAAATAATGCTGATATAATATTAATGGCCATTTTTGATCCTAAAGTGCAAGCTTCCCTTTCAAGATTTAATATATATAGATATAGATTTTTCTACATTTATAACTAGAAAAGCAGAAAAAAATGATTATTGCATCTCGATAGTTTTGATTCTTTGGTTGCGTTTTCTGCACAATAAAATATATGAATATAAAAAAATAATGCTGATATAATATTAATGACCATTTTTAATCCTAAAGTGCAAGCTTCCCTTTCAAGATTTTATATATATACATATATGATATAGATTTTTCTACATTTATAACTAGAAAAGCAGAAAAAAAATGATTTTTGCATCTCGATAGTTTTGATTCTTTGGTTGCGTTTTCTGCACAATAAAATATACGAATATAAAAAAATAATGCCGATATAATATTAATGACCATTTCTGTTTCGCTCAGGGGTACCTGGTAAAAGGAATGAAATCTACTACAATTGCTGCCCGGAACCGTACATAGACATCACTTTCGTCGTCATCATCAGAAGACGCACACTCTACTACTTTTTCAACCTGATCGTGCCGTGCGTTCTAATTGCCAGCATGGCCGTTCTCGGGTTTACCCTGCCGCCCGATTCCGGCGAGAAACTCTCCCTCGGTAAGTTTAAACTCGATGCAAAACTCCAACTGCTCCTCCCTTCCCAACAGTTCGTAAATTCGAGCACCCGCGATTAGACACATTCCTGTTTGTTAAGAACATCAGATATTTGCGCGATTAGGTCCGACCTACTTCCGACAGATTCTCCCGCATCCGGAAACCGCGCCAGGAAGAAGAAACTATTCCGCATCACGTCGTCGTGAGTTTCTTCCGCAATCAAATACCGCGGGGACTTTATCGAATTTCGAAATTAGACGATAAAATACCGTATATACGAAAACTTGGTTCGTTGAATCCAAACATCACGAATACGGTTTCACGTCAACGCGCAATTGAATAAAGAACGATCGTACGTCAAAGATTTTCGTGTCAAATTGAGATGAACGTTTTGCGTTCAGTTGTATATATCATAAATTTTATTTATACGTGCAAATCTATATTTTTTATATGACACGTTCGCAGGGAAGAATATTAAAGTCAAATTTTCTCAGAGAGAAAATTTTAAAAATTTGCTTTCTTATTAAACATAAAAATGAAAATATTCATTTAATTAATTAAAATTTATTATAATATTTGTGTAATTTTTTCTTAGTATTTTTGAATAAATTTTTCAACAAATAACTGCAAGTTTATCGAATTAACTTGAAATAAAAAAAATCTAGAGTGACAAATAAATTGATCGAGAATGATGAATTTGACAGCAAATTGTTCTATTATAATAAAAAAAAGATATATGAGATAGTTTTATCGACTTACATAAAAAAAGACATGAAATAAAGTGACTTTCTCTCGAACGCGTCTTCTTGTGATTACAGGTAGAGATAGATTACGTTAGCGCTCTCCATGACACAATTTATTTCATTGTTACCTTGTAAGCGTGATCGTCCTGGAATTTGCCGAGTAGCCGGATACCCGGTAGAAATTTTACCTCCTACAGCTCGAATCCGCTCAGCTGCATAATTCCGATTCCTTGCTCGCCTCGCCTCTCGCTACCGTGTAAACGCTCCCGTGATTAGAGTCATGCGCCGGAGTTTGCTAAGCGCATCGGGCGTTTACGCGATTAGATTTCGTCCCGATCCCGATTGAAACGGTATCCCGACGCCAGAACTTGAGCGAGCCTTCTATTCAGGTCGTCGAATTTCTTCGAGCGTACCTACAAGAGCGTTATTCTGAATCTCCGCCGAATTCGGAAGCGATCGCGACAATCGTCGTCGACGAGAAGATACGGTGACAATGGAATGACAATATCGAGCGATTGCAATCGTCTCCTTCGCGAATTGCTTCGAAGCTCGTAGCTATTCATAGATCGAGATATGATAATAACATCTCTTCGTGTGCGACAACGCTCTATTTATAGTGATCGCCTTAACATTTGTATTATAGTCGAACGACGCATAAACCAAATTTTCCAATAAAGAATTTGATATTGTTTTTCGTATTATTAGAATTTGATTATTGTGATTAATTCGGAAATTAATTAACAAATATATATATAATTTTATTTACAAATTGTCTTAACGATGTAATGGGAATTCTTGCGTATAATAGAAGAAATGAAAAGATTCTATTTTAAATAAAAACGAAACAATCAGAAAAAAACAAGACCTTTTAATCGCGATTGATCTCCGTGTCTCTAAAGGCTCTTAAAGGCACCTTTCAACGCGTTATATCGCGAGCTTCGAGAAAACTCGAGTAACATCTGATATTTAGATGAGGCATCTGTCGCGATGTTTTGAAAGTCTAAATAATTTGAAAGCACCTCTTAACGCGACGCCGCATCTTGCGAATGAATGTCGCGAGTTCAAAGCCCGAGCACAGTGACAGATTAAAATACTTTATGATTCTGCATGTGCAAATTATCCCTTCAAAGATTTTCCATTTAAGATCCCTAATTAAAATAAAAAATATCAACAAAATTTTTACTATTTTATTTTTAATTTATATAATTTTTTTATTCCTTATAACATTTTTAATAAATTATTCTCTCGAGAAATTATAAATAGAAGGAACACTTTATCTGTCACTGCGTTCGTGGCGACGAGGTCGGAGACATCATATCGCCTTAAGATGAGAATCGAAGCGCCTTCAATACGGGGGTTGTTACGCATTGAAGGCTCTTCGAGCGTTCAAGGGCCGAGGGTTAATCTCGCTTGGCCACCTCTTCGAAGCACTCGATAATTAATCGAAGCCAACGAACCTCTTTTGTAGGAGTAACCATCCTCTTGTCCCTCACTGTGTTCCTGAATATGGTTGCCGAGACAATGCCGGCGACGTCTGACGCTGTGCCGCTTTTAGGTGAGCTCGATTTGATTGATTTTCAATATAATTAATTTTTCAATATGAGAAAGCAGAGCGTGATTGATCACCTATATCGTGAACCATTCGAGTGGAAAAAGATAGGGAGAGAAGGAACGAAGGGTTTATCTTTGCACTCTTCTAAGGTGTGCTTCCTAATTGTAAAATATCTGAGGCAAGAATACACGCGACTGAATTTCTTTCATATTATTAGAATTAATATTTTATGCTTTTATAATTATTATATACATACTATTTTATAATTTATAATTATCAAATAATTGAATAAATTGGAAACTATTATGAAATTATTTATTATTATTTATTATTAATATTAGCATATTATAATATTCTATATTATTATATAAATCATGATCATGTTTGACAGAGAACGTACAATTATATTTATTTGATAGATGCAAAGAGAAACGTGAACTTAACGTTAATTTAGTTAATATTTAGAAAATGTAAACCGTGTTAAAATACGTATATATCGACTATCAAGCTTCAAGTTTTATATTAATATTATAATTTTATGCTAATTGGGTAATTTAATAATTATCGTTTGCTTGTGCTACTTTGGCTCATTTTCAAATCGTATTTATACTTAATTATTTTTATAATTTTTCAGGAACGTACTTCAATTGCATCATGTTTATGGTAGCCAGCAGTGTAGTCAGCACGATTCTCATCTTGAACTATCATCATCGGAATGCTGACTCCCATGAAATGTCTGAATGGGTAATTTACTTTGATCGATATCAAAGCGCACAACGTAACACTGTGACTATTATGACTTAATTATCTTGTTAGTATTGTAATGTGAAAATATGAGAAGCAAAATATCGCAAACTTAATAACAAGTTGATTTATAGTTCTGTTATTATTTAAAACAAAAAAATACATATATACATATATACAGTTTGTCCGAAATTTTCGAAATTTATAACGAGTTTATCAAGAATTGCATGAATTATTGACAGCAATTAGTAATTAAATGAAGATAATGTAAGACGAAACAAATAACTGACTTTATTGTTATCAAATTAATCGGATAAACTAGTTCATGTTAATATAACTTATTAATATAAAATCGATAGTCAATAATAACTTGCATAGAATTTTATTGAAGGTCTGGCTCACACTTGGCTAAATTATTCAATTTATTTGTGTACGTGTAGGTTTTTCAATTATTTTTAGAATTAATTGATATCATACATTCTGTAGATTTATGTCTCTGAAATGTATGTACTAGCCAAACAATTTGTTAACGTTACTTTCATTCGCGCAAGAGATACAACGAAAACAATTTTGTTAAAGCTCAATTTAATTCGTTGCCGATGCTATATGACTTCCACATATATCGATGGATAATTATGGTTTTAATTAAAATATAACAGCGTGCCGTCGCTGAGACCGATACATCGTTCTCTTTTCATCGGGAATTTTATAGGTGAATAATTAAGGGCCACTCCATCGAATGCGCGCCACGATACTAAATCACATTGCATTATCGAATTTCTCGTTAAACGTCATTTTAATTAGGATGTAAATTTCGAAGATTGATTACTCGCGCGATTAGATTTCCTCAAGCGAAAGGTATGCACACACGCAAATTAATTTAAATTAATAACGCGGCTTGCCTCTTGAAAGTCGTAAATTTTTGCAAGTTTGAAATTATAATCACATCACAGTAACCAATATCTAATTACGTATATTGGACTATATTATTAATTAAAATGCATTACAGATTAAGGTAGTTTTCCTGTACTGGCTACCCTGTATACTCCGTATGTCGAGGCCAGTGCCAGATGAAGAAAAGGAAGTACAAAAATCTCAGAAGCCATCTCCGGTTACGGGTACGATCATCTTAAAAGTAGAAAAAGAATTTTTGTTCAAATAAATTCATGATTACGTTTACAACAATTTATCACTGACTTAGAATGTCGTTTATGCGAATAATTTAATTCTGGGTTTCTTCTCACATAAATATTTGATATGCAGTTATTCTTCAATAATTACCTCCCGCTTTTATGTCGCTGTATTAATAATTAATTATACATATAATTATTACGTAATTCTGTAATTTTTTTCTAATTTAACGGCTAACACTTTTTTCTCGGACCCCAGGTACGAGCAAGTCATATGGCGATCTGGAGCTCCACCAGAGGAGTAGCAAGTCCCTCTTGGCGAACGTCCTGGACCTGGATGACAACGCGTTGGCGTCTCACAATAATCTGCTAAACAACGTATACAGCACGCCCGGGCCGCATCACGCGCACGCGATGGGTCACGGCCATAGTCACATACACTCGACGCCTCATCATCATCACAGCCACGCACCCACGACGCCGCACCATCAGCACGCGACGCCGCTGCCGCATTCATCGTATCCCGGCCACCAGATCTCGCATACGCCGCACCATCATCCACATCCGCAAGACGCGTCAGGGCCGCAGGTCGAAACAATACTCCAGAACGCGTGCTTCTGCGCTCGTTACGAGCTTGTGCTAATCCTGAAGGAGATTAAGGTATTCCGGCTCGATCCAATATGAGCGATCTGAAAAATCTTGAGAAATCAGTTTTTTGCTCTGAAAATATTCTAAAATTATTGACATTTTTTCTATGAGAGAGATTCCAAAATTTTGTACGGTCAAACCTTCAAGCTTTTAGCATCCCTAACAGAGCCAACATATCCGAAAGAGTAAAGGGTAACCAGAGGAACATCCTCTGGATGCCCTTTGGAATTTTTCTAAACTTCAAAGATTGTCTATAAGAGCTATTAAATATAATACAGTTGTCAGATGATATATTAATAAAATTCATTTAAACGAAATAATAAATACATAAGAAATGACATTTCAAGCCTTCTTCAGCGCAATACAAATATTTTAATTATAAATTGAATTTTATTAATATCATCTGACAACTGTATTATGTTTAATAGCTCTTACAGCCCTTCTTTGTTTACAATTATTAAAATTTAACAGAGCTAATTACTATTTTTATTCAAAGATTGTATTACAATATTTGAGAATACCATTTCAAAGCTCCAACCAGTCCGGCGTTTCATCCCATTGGATTTCGGAATAAAACAGCAATCTCTCGTTTCAGATAATAACGAACCAGCTAAAGGCCGAGGATGAGAACACGAAGATCACGAACGATTGGAAGTTCGCGGCGATGGTGATCGATAGGATGTGCCTAATCATTTTTACTCTGTTCACCATCATCGCTACCATCACCGTCCTGCTATCGGCGCCGCACATTATCGTCACGTGATTCAGAAAAGCCAGTCTGTCGCCGGTGGTTCCGGGGCTGACGAGGATCTCGCCGACGGGCATCTTCGCGCCAGCGAAGCACCCGCCCTTCCCGTTAACCGGATTCTGCCGGGTCGGGCACGAGGGTGCTCGCCTTCGGGTTCGCATGCCGCTTCGTTTCGGAGACTTGCGCGTTAGGAAGAAAGCAATACGGGGAGTAACTTCGTTTCTTTATGATATATATAATAATACCAGTAAAAATGAAAATAATAACGCTATCGATAATGAGAATAACGATAATAGTATTAATAATAATTACGTAATAGTTACGGTAAAAAACTTTATCGTATAATTATCCCACGAGGACGCCTTAGCGAAACACGTTGACACACCGTTTTCAAGACAGCGCGAGCTCGCGCGCGCAAGAGCGAAGGGACACGTTTACACGGGAACACGCGGAAGAAACGAGACACGTACATTGGTTTCTTTACACGCATCCCTGAGAGCAGTCGAGCAAGGTGGCCGAGCGCTTTGTATAGCTGAAATGGTACATTTTTGCGAACGAGAGTGCTGAACGATTAGTTTTATAAGAAATTCAATTACGTTTGCACCGAGGTAGAAGCGTGAATCGGTCGAATCGAGACGAGTCTGTCCTCCGCGACTACTACTTAGGGATGTACCACACATATACATAAAATATACATACATATATGCACGTAACGTCATATACGAGCGACTTTACGCATGGAAGCGTGATTTGCCAATGAGTTAAAAATACTCGGACGCAGCCCAAGGTTGATACGATGTAGAAATCTCCGAATGCACGCGCGAGGATCGGTATTGCTAGGATTAAGAGACTCTTGATTAGCGGATGTAACAGTTTCAATCAATTTCGTGATGTTTCTACGAATCACTACGTAAAGACTTGAATTCGAGTATCTCGAAAAACTTTGAAAAACTTTGAAATATAAATACTAAATGATATAAACAATTGTATAAAATGAGAGGTATATCAATGATAGTATGCTCAAAAATTGATATAAAGTCAAAGTTTTCGAATAATTTGAGTTTTTGAAATTCTCGAAAATATGATACGTAAACAGCGGAGAAAAATTCGGGGATTACTATATGCAAATTGACATTGGTTCTCGTTTACGACGAGATGCGAAGAGAATTAAGAGAGATCCAGGCGAGACGATCATTAATTAATTTGAGCCGTATAAAACTAAATGACGAAAAGAAAGGATGACGATGAAAAAAAAAAAAAAAAGGAAAACAAGGAGAAGGAGAAAAGGAAATTGGGCTTTAGAGGTAAAACGCACACGCATACACTCTCAGAATACACATGATGAACTGCCAAGGTGATTCAAATAATGCCAGTGAATTTTCTTATCCGTATCATTAGTATATAAAAATCGACGACGACTTAATAAACGGGGGATTTGTACTACGATTTAAAAGCGGCGGTCATATAACATAAATACTCTCATTCTCTCGGGAAGAGAGAAGAGAGGAGAAAGAAAAAATATCCGAAGGACACAGATGTGGAAGGATGCAGAAAGCGGACGCGAGAGAAAAATGCGAAGGACGATTGTAACTGTTTGATAACTTCCGCTCGAACTGATTTCGAACGCGACGCACTTTTTTTCCTTGGTGTCCGCGAACGCGTGCGAATTGCTTGTATTATCGATCTACATTCTCGTCGCACATTTAGCGTTGAATATCTGGCTCTACTTATCTTGGATCAAAAAATTTCACACCAATTTTCCATGTGTACTGAATAAATTTGTATCTAACATTAAACACGGTCTTATATCTATGCTTTCGAGAATCAAACAACTGTCGAATTGTTTGACAAATTGTCATCAAGTTCTAAATTTGAAAAATAGCAAGACTTCATTTATCGTTAAATGTGCATGGAGCAAATAGATCATTAACTCGGATTACAAGTAGAAAAAACGTGAGTTTACGCGGACACACACGCTTTCTGGTACACAGCAAGTAGTAGAAACGATCGTGTACCTTTTTGTCTGACATGCATCAATCTTTCTCCTTCCTATAAGAATTCCATTATCCGGATCATTATCGCGCAACATTGTACCTTCTTTCTAACATCGAAAAACCATTTAAGAATGCAAAAAAGTTAATAGTGGAATTCTTACTTCTCTTATATCAGAGAGAAGAAATGCGATTTCGAACATCCCTCGTTTTGTTACCGCATTTTCAGGAAGATCACTCCGCTGATATAAACATTGAGTATCGTGCGATCGCAAAGATTGGAAAATCGTTCTACACAGGATATCAATATCGCAAACGTTCAAGATTATCGATCGATGCATTGTGATTCGCGATAAATATTTCTTTCATCCCCGCAAGGGACGACAGAGAAACATGATTTTACTCTTAAGTGCATTAAAAAAAAAAATTAGCACGCGTCACGTTCTGTATTAATTCACGTGCTCTCGATAGTTATCGGCAGAAAATCGCAGAAACGACGAAGTCGATTAGTCACGCTAGGAAGAGGAAAACGCAACGTGGGATGGCGACCGATAAAGAAAGGAAGTTGCTCACGGACAGACACGTAGGCGAATGCCGGTCTCGACGAGACACCGGGGAGACGAACTCAAGTCGTATTGTACATTTTTCAGCTATCGGCACTGGATACGCGACAACCAATCACGTTATCTTTTAAATATGTACTATTAAAGGTTATTAAGGTGTAATGAACCGTTGTTGATCATGTTGCGTTGCGGGCAGGATTACGCGTATATAGAAGTACGATAGAAACTATAAAACGGTGTGTTTTGATCTCTAGCGCGCGAACGATTAAAAAAAAATAAAAGATATAAAGAAAATAACGTCGAACTTGTATTAAACTCGTAAGGGAGGTAGAGAGTACATTACATTACATTACATTAGAGAGAGAGAGAGAGAGAGAGAGAGAGAGAGAGAGAGAGAGAGAGAGAGAGAGAGAGAGAGAGAGAGAGAGAGAGAGAGAGAGAAGAGTGTGGTTAATCAGTTATAAGTTTATCACTATAATCACTAGTTAACAAGAAATCAAAGAAATAATTCGCCAAAAAAAAGATGCATATAGAGAGTTCGAGACATCGATACATGCATTTTAACGCCGGAAAAGTTATCCTTTATGCGATAGAAATTAACATGCGGCTCAATTTTAGCCTTTTATTAACTCGATAATATAACAGAAGTTAGAGGATAAGCTATACTCAAATATATATTACAATTCAAATAAAAAGACATTTATGTTCAAGCTACAAAATGCCATTGATTGTGTTGTTTTTGTGAAGAAGGATGTGAAATCGAGGATTCTCGACGCCCTGATAATTTTTGTCGCTGCAGGAAAATGTCCGGCCCCATCGTTCCTTTTTTTACGTGCGTTTGCTGTAGTTCAAGTTGGTGGAAAGGTGATTAACAACGCCGATTTATCGCAACTAAGGGCAGTGTAGGAGAGTGCCCCTTCAGTTTTTACAAAGTAGAAAAATGTGTGTGGCTATACTTCACATCCCGTTCTATTATTTTTCCTTCAAAATAACGATTATCTTTAAGATCACAGCATGAAGGCTGTTTCTTTATTGAGTGATACCATTTCCTTATGTATTTATTATCAGTAAATTGCGTATGTGTTCTTAAAGTATTATAATGTATGCCACATTATTTCAAATCACTCGGTACATTAAAAATAAATAATCTCATTGCTATCGCGTCGAAAGTAGGGCTTCCTAATTAATGAAGCCTTCGCTTGTTCGCTCTAAATCCGCGAATCTAACCGCAATTGTTATACGCAAAAAATAATACGCGTATCAAATCGAGATTAATTATACTGGCACTGCGATTAATTATGATCGCAAGTGTAATGTTAATTTAGAAGCAGCGATGTGGATTACGAGTCCTAGAACATTACGGGTATCAAAAAGTCGTGTTAGCGAAGCAAACGCGTGATTTTAATGTATAATCAAGATTTAACGATTAGATAGTAAAAAAAAAAAAGAAAATAATGCATTTTACCACGAGATACGACGATACTTGTCCTATAATTATACTTGTAAATGTGTATTATCACATATCGTAATGAGATTTACGTCGAAGACAGAAAATTGCTCACTGTAATTCGTCGCTAACGACTGCTGATTTATTTTCCTATAAATTAATAAGCGCACCGCGAGCGACGGCAAGAACAACCGATTTTTCCCTTTACGCGGAAGTAGCTAGAATATTTTGACGATGAAAAATATAGATAAAAACGAAACAACGTGAGATTTCCGGGATATCGTAAAATGGTGCAACTATGTACCAAGAAAGAAATCTATACTTGCACAATAACGAATAAATAATAGAGATTAAAACTGAAGCTCATGGCTAAGTTAAATAAATTTGATATAGGATATGCCAGAGAGATTCCTGAGACATTTTTTTTTCACGCCGTAATGCATAGTTGTTCAGTTTTGTGGAATATAAAATTCAAACCGCGTACGATTACATTATTATACAATTTAATGAGCTTCTTCCCACGATTTCCACGACGAGGAATCGAAAGGAGAACTATTGCCATCGAAGACCTTTCTTGCTGAAAGAGATTTTCAGCAAATTCTCGAACATCACAAATTCGCATAAAAGTGGATTTTAAATTTAGGCGGAACGTGACACACTTCGCGCAAAGTTTCCACCTCCTTGAACTCGATATAGACAGTTTTCCGAAGATAATGCAGCAAACGTACTCAGGCATGGTGTGATCCACCTACGAAAGCGTAGGCGAGACTAATGGATGGTCATAAGTCTGAAAAATTTATTACTTATTCGAGGAAATGGATTAAATGCAAAGGTTATTGTTTCATTTATTATTGATTCATTTCTAGTTTTTACAAGTTAAGTGTAGAATGTTTTAATTTCAAGAAAATTTTAAATAGCTTTCATTATCTCATGTTATATTTGACATTTGACTAACTAATATGTACATGTACGTACATTGATATATGTTTTTAATATATATATATATATATATATATATATATATATATATATATGTACGTGCCGCAATTAATTCTCGTACGCCACTTAAATGCTAATTTTATTTATTTTAACTTTAATATTTTCTTCCATAATTTTTTATTCTATAATTTGGAGTTAAAAATAATTTGAAAACACTTTTTAACCTTTTTTCTTGAAAAGAGATCAATTCAAAGTTCTGAAAAATTCGATGAATGCAATTTCTATAAAAGGTGATGAATAAAATTTATAAAATGTTTTCATTATTTTTAGACTGTTTTTATTATTATTTTTTTTTTTCAAATTAATTTGTAAAATTGAAATGAGAGCAGTAAATAATGAAATTTCTGTACAAATTGACCACTTTAAGTAAACGACTGAATAAGAAATGACTGAATAAAAGAAAAGAGGATAGAAAAGAGAATGAAAAAAAGAGAAATAAGATAAGCGGCATTAACGTGACTTGCGCCTTTAAAATCGACAACTCAGCTTAACACGCGCGGGGCTGTTATATATAAAGTGTAATCTTGTAAAAAAAAGAATATTAATAATGATAACGAGTTAGAGCTAACGATTAACGATAACGATAAATGATAATATTACTACTACTATTAATAATAACAATAATAATATTAAAACGTATTAGCTATGACACTCTTCGCCTGTATGAAATGTCTCCTTTCTACGACGTTAATGTACGATTAAGTCGATTTCCGCGAATCGAATCGTTCCCGATTAATGAGTAGTTGCGGCGGACAGAAAGATAAATAAAAAAAAAAGAAATTGAATAAACATGTGAGTTAACTAAAGGTTAAATAAAGGTTAATAGACTCATAGGATATCGTAGTAATGCAGATGTACAGGGTGATGCGACGAAAAAGGATATCCGGCAGTGCGATGTGAGCGATCTTTTGAACGTCTCGCCTATCAATATGAAAGGCAAGGAATAATTAAAATAAAATTGAAAAAGAAAACAGATCAAAAGTACACATAATAATCTTAGAGATCGCTATTGTCCTTCAAATTAATAATTCAATCTCAAAATTGCAAACGGTGAGTTTCGTTTCATCGAGCCGACGTGACGTTTTCGTCGTGACGTGAAAATTAACCCGTTATACCCAAGCTACTATAACTTATTTTTCAATTTAGATTAAAAACCCATATAAGTACATAACTCTGTATTTTTTTTTTTTTTTTTTTCATACGGGTTATAACGAGTTAAGTCGTGTGCGAGTTTCGTAGCACTTCTTCTTCACTTAACTCCTATATTAATTACTCGGGCGTTTCAAAGACTTACCTAAGGACTTACTACGATAGAGATAATTACGATTGCTCATCGATTATGCCTGTCGTTTAAGTGTCAAGACAATCCCCCGATGACTCCAAGCGGCTGACGACGAAAACTATACTTCTCGATATATATATATATAATACTACCTCTAATTAACGCGAGAGATTAATTCGACGGACGCATTATCTGTCGTGTGTAATTTATTGTAAGGTCTATTATACTATAGCATGCCAAAGTCTTCCGCCATTAGTCGCCTAGTACAGCTGACGAGTTTTTTCGGTTGCGAAACTCTCTTGCGAAATATCATCATCGTAAATCGCGCTCGCGTGAATTAATCCCGTTTGCACTAATATCATTCAAGGGGATATAATTATGATTCTGGAGAAAGTTCGCTCGCGCGAAAGTCGTTGCAACTGCTCTTTCAGCTGTTCAGCGTTAGTAGCTCGCTGTGATGTAAGTAGTCGAAGCTCTAGCGACAAATTTTACGCTCGTAGAACTAACATTGAAACTAGTCGCACGACGCGAAGCGAAAGACGACGAAATGAGACGAAATCACCAGGATTCTCCTTGTCTAGAAATCGATCGTATAATTTTGTCCTACAAGTAAACGCATGCATTTTCCACGAATATGTCCAAAATCACGATCGCGTAATTTTCTCAACGCCAAACACGATAAAACTTGCGTGCGTGCATTGAAAAAAAGTTAATCTAAAATTATATATATATTGACTCATTGATAATTACGTGATTCGAGCTTTTCATTTATAAACTTCGTATTCCATAATTTATTTGATCTTGCGATAATGATCGGACCGGATCGATCATAATATTCTTCAAATGCAAAGCTTTGTGGTGACTTTCGAAGCAGTGTGAATTTTTCATAATAAATGATTCACACGAATGCATTCGATGAAGATTCAGAGGAAATGATTTTTACTAATCTGTGTCACAGAGATTGAAATGTCAAAGTTGTGAAAGAGAATAGAAACGCAATTACGCTTTTCACACTTTTTAAATACTATATATCTTTGGAAAGTAGCCACTTTGGATTGGTGGAGACGTTCGGAAGATCGATGATCCCTTGCTTGTTCTTTTATTAGACCGCTCTTTATATATACACATACACATATGTATTATATATTATACATATACGCGACAGAAATTTAATTATATCGACGACATATAGCGTGTAAATGCGTTGCTCGCGCTCAGCCCCGTTGTTAAATTAAGCGAAACGAGATATCGTCCGCGGATTTTGCTGCTCGTTACACGAATCGCGTCGTTCTGCTCACCGTCGATCATCGCATGAAATCCTAGCAGGAAATCTCTGCAAAATGAAAAAATGATTTGACAAATCAAACAAAGCAACGCGATTGTTGGAAAAACTAAAAATTAAATACCACGTAATTATTTATTATAATAGCAAACACAAAGTAACAATTACATAACATCAATGTTACAATTTCCCACTCAATAATATAACTGTTACGTAAAAGCCATGTTATATTGCGGTTATACATATTATTGAGTGGGAAATTCTAACACTGATATTATGTAATTGTTACTTTGTGTTTGCTGGAAAATAATATAAATATTTTGTAAAAGTCCTACACAAAAATAATAGAAAAATAAATTGTGTAACAAGCAAGAGATTTTCGAATTGGATGAAATATACGGTCGACTATAAAAAGAATTCTTCCGATACTTTTCCAAGCATAAAAAAAGGTTTACGCATTCAATCTCGAGTTAAATCGTTGTTGATGGAGAACGATCGTACGAAGAGATAGAGGATATGCTTTTGCTATAAAACTACGCCATCGTATTTACGTTTGATGGCTCGTGGAGTCATCACGACAGAATGGGAAAAGTAAAACGACGCTTTTCGTGCCATCATACGCAGCGACGCAGGTTTCGAGTGTCACGTTATGATGATCGAGTCGGGGCAAGGTTTTGTCTGTAAATTCCACTGTGCCATTGTTTGTACAGCGTTAAACAATAATCAATTGTCCGGATTGATTAGCGCGAGCGAGCGAAAGCGCTCGGAAACAAGGAAAAGAGAAGAAATATTTAAGATAGGCTCGTGCGCGTATCTTTTTTCACGACGATGGCGAGTTAATTAATTAGATTAACCGATTAGGTGAAGCGTAAGTTCAAGTGCCAAATTTGTAGCTAATCCTTAAAGCGTAAACGAGCGCACTGCGGAGCGAACGTGCTACGCAATAGGGCTGAAAATAGGGATGTAATTAATTAACGTGGAAAGAATCAAAGACACGGCGCGGAAATCGCGCGTAATTAGGATCGAATTATGAATTAATCCGTTACGAGAGGATCGGGACGAGTCTGCGAAATTAATCCGCGATTTGTTAGAAATTTGTTGTAGAAATGTCTCATCGATTTTTATTCCGCTTTTATCGCATTATTAAGCGCAGTAAGCTGTATTCTGAAAGCTAAATTAAATCATTGTAACAATGACATTAATTAATATAAAAAATCGTCGATTGCATCTTTACATGTTAAAGTAAAATATATGTGACATTCTCTTCGATCAGGAAGATATACATCGTATTAACAAAAGTAGTAATTAATTTTGTTTAGCTTATTATATGTGTCACACGCTTCTATATACTTTATCCTAAACGCGGAACATTAGTGCCAAATAATTCGCGATTTATTGCGCGAAACAAGAGAGAGAGCAAGAAGGAGGACAAATTTTAGAGTTCGATTCGAGTGAATATATTTTGCGTCAGAATTCCGCAGAAAAAGACAGAAAAATGTATTGATAAAAAAAAACAGATAAGAGAAAAACGCGTCACAGCCAACTAAATTTAAAAATGAATTTTTACACAAGTAAAACTCAGTTATTTCCGGCAGGCAATACTCGTTTCCTTTCGTATTGGATCCTCGTTCGGCTAATTTACCACGCGCGATTCCATAGGAAGCTGCATTGTCCTATAAAAAAAAAAAACAAAGAAAAAGATAAAATTTGCGCTGGATGATTAGCGAAATAGCGAGGAAGAAAAGTAATCATCAAAAATTACTGCAAAAGAAATAATGATAATGATAACAAACAAATAAATAAATAAAAGCGAAACTATTAAAAAAAAATCACATGTACCACTAAACATAAACTATATATATTTAAACTATTGAATGCTAAAGTCGTATTCGTAATAATGAATAAAAAGAGATGATTAATAATCGATTAACTGAATATTAAAAGCTAGCCTGTAATCAATAGCGATGTAGTTATACTCTGACAGTAATTATAGGGTGATTCAGAGGTAGTCTATTAGCAGTTAGGGTCGAACTTTATCGAGATCACTTTCTCTCTAAACTAACGATGAAGAAAGGAGTTATACCTAATTATCTCTCAATGCTAACCTATTGAATTTAACAGAACGTAAAAGCCGCGCTGATGCGATTTCAGAAGACCGATTATATATAGAGCGCGATCTAACTCTCTTCGTTATCTACCTACACCTATATCTTTATTCCCTATGTACTTTAAAAAGAAAAAAAAGGTATCGTATTGTCCACCGTTACAATCAATCGTTAAGATCGACAATGGTGTGCGTTACCGATCGCCATCGAAAATATGAAGAAAAAAAAAAAAGAAAGACGAGGAGTACGTATGAAAAAGAGTTACTATGTTTCCGTAGACCCTGGTGGGACGATGCAATTGAACTGAATTCACCCGATCTCACTTGACTTTTAATTATGCCTCTGAACAACAGCCTGGTCCGATAATAGTAAATCCATACCACGGAGGAGATATAAGAGAGCGTGAATAAAAATTTGTTATATTTCTACGCTGGGCTCCTTTTCGAGGCAACGTTGATCGATATGAGAATCCCTGTTAACTGGTGAGCACTGTAATCGCCGCATTGTAATATTATTAACATTATTACGTTATTATGAAATTGTTGAAATAAATGAAATGAAAATAAACGTCTTCCATTCTCTCCTCTTTTCATTTTCTTTCGGCCATACACAAACGTCTCATTTATCATATAATTCTCATCGGCAGAGAAAAGAAATATTATTTTTTGTATTTTATTTATATATATATATACATAAAGTCAAAGCTGGGAATAAAATCCTATCTTCATAATTTGTCAGTTAAGACACGTGAAGGTATGAAATTCGATGATTTTATTGATGTTATTTCATTATAAAAAGGACTACTTAGTTATACTACGTTAAAGTTCTCTTTTACCTACCAACATACAGTTAATGAATATATATAGTCACTATTATTTATCATGCATAATAAAGTACAAACTTAGATTCAACAATACCGGTTCTTGTTTGATACGCAAATTATAATATTACATATATTCGCTGCGGTAATTATTTTTTTCGCAGTAGATAAAGAACGCATATACATCGACTAAAATGTGTACTCTTTTATTGTTATCGTTTATATTAAATCGCCTCCAACCAATAAGATTAAATTCATCGACGTGCTAAATTTAAATCAAGTATGTATATGAAATAAAGTATATCTGATTTCTAAAAAGTTTAGTTATTGTATTTCTTTCGAGGAAGACACGTCATACGCTATCAGTTAATTAACGCATTGTAATACGGGAGCAAATTATTTTCTCGTTATATTCATTATGAATAGTATAGTAAATTTTCTTTGATAAATTATATTGCAACGTAAATTTGCTTATAAAGTGATATTTGGAAATAAAATAAAATCCGTAATTGTTATTAACTTATCAAATAATTGAGAGAAAAATTTATATTATAAATTTTGAAAATTACATAAAGCTGTATTTTTTTCATACAATTTGCTACAGTCGACATAAAGAGTTATAATCAAGAATGTTCTTTAATTAAAAATTCAATTATTATCGTTATCAAGCATTTTTGGAGAAGAAACTTATTTTACTATTCGCTTGAACGATATAACACTCAATTTATATAACAATAGACTTAAACATTTTTGAAAAACTATTGCAATAGCTGTAACATTAAATTCCATTAAATATAGGATAAAATATTTAGCTACGTACAATAACTGCTTATTATATTAAAAAATTCTGTGAGACTAATCAATTAACAATTGAGAATCTCGACATACCGAATAAATCGCCACTAACGAATTTTGTACATGTAATATAAAATCGAGAAACTTAATAAATTTGCAGATATGCATACATTAAGAGATATAATAAAAAATAACAATTGCATGAAATTATAGAATAATATAAAGAAATTCCATTTTTTCGGTTATATCACTACTTGCATAAGAATTCTCAATACTTATTCAACAATCGACTGCAACTTTTCTCTGAATTAAACCTTCTATTAGAGACCACATGACCGCCTCTTTGACAGCCTCTCCGTACAATACAATACGCAATACAATACGATAAGCATGATTATGATGTTCTATTAACGCACGACGATCCTACGTCCTTATGATAAACGTAGAATTCACGTTTGCCCTAATATGCGCATTTATAGTTATAGGCGCAATACATTGGCTCATCTCGCATTTAACTAAACAACATATCCTGCCTAGATAACTAAACGTTATCTATTTTTACTTCATTTACTTATTTTGTTTATTAAGACAAAACTCCCTATTAAATTCTATTACATAGCATACAAGGTAATTATAATTGATAATAAAAACAATCCACCATGCTCTTTTATGTTTAAAAAATAACAACAATAAAATTTGCGAAAATATTTAAATATGAAACAAAATTCAAACGATAAAAGACATGTGCATCATGTACATGATGTGCATGTCTGTATATTCTATATAATATATGCAATAATAACTATTTAGATAACTATTTATATAACTATAACTATAAATTTTCGATATAAGTTTGAATAATTTTAGTTTTAATTTTAAGAAGAAGACCAATCTCTTCAAGTCAAAACGAATTCTCAAAAAGTATATAATTTCTATTTCAAATCAACGAAAATACAAACGACATAATTTTTAAAATTTTGTTTGATCTTTTCAATTAACGAAATTTTATTTAATCATATCTTGACTTGTATCGGTCTTCCAATGCTAAAATCATCGCGTAATTACGAGAGAGAAAACCCCTTTATAATTTATATTAATTTAATTTACAATCTTTCATGTTCGCATAAAATTTGTCACTAGGACTCGTCGATGGAGATGTTTGACGAGCATATTGAAGTCGTCGCGATTCTATCAATATGTATAATCAATACGACGATGAGTATCAAACGCGAGCTCCGCTAAATTACAATGTACGCAACGGCGATTTGCACGATTATTATCAAAATTATTTCAAATCTATATCTAAGCCATTGTCGCAAAATTGATTCTGGATATCTATATCCGCACGTAGTTACGCATTTTTAAGAACGTTTCGACCTTACTTTACAAAGAGAGATTTCTAACTTTGATATTTGAGACTTTGATCGATACTGGTCGAAACTGATCGCGAAAATTGCGATCAAGAAATGAAATAAAGAATTGTTTTCTCACCATACACTTAATATTAAATTTGTTAACGTATATATTACGTTATTACCTATATAAATTAAACATTTAACGTGCATACTTTCGACAACTTAGAGTCGAAAACAAAAATATTTATTTAACGATTCATTAATAAATTGTAATGAAATTACGTCTCTATAAAAATACGCGACAGTTTTACATAATTTTACAGAATTTAATGTTAAACGTGAATTCCTTAAGTTTGAATTATTTTGTAATATAAATAATATTTCTCGTTACATATTTGCTAACTTACCAGACTATTGGATTATTTGTATTCTAATTAAGAAATATCGATATAGTTGACTAAACATGTGTTTGTGCGTATCATCGTCATATTAATGTATTATAATAATCTTGCCAAAATTCCATTAATTAATTCCGCATGTTTCTAATTATGAATATTATATTGTATAATACTACGTAAGCGGATTTCATCGTTTAACATTAAGTGTATTACTTGGGAGCTACAGCATTTGGAGGAACAAACATGGTATTTCCAATGAGATACCTATACAATTTCATAATCAACATAGAAATCAGATAAATCTATGTATATACTAGTAAAACATATTTCTTATATAATCAAACGCCTTCTAACAAAAATGTATCCAACACTTAATCATTAAGATAACTGACGCCATGTAAACCCCTTTCCTTAAATCAAAGTTTCTAAATCCTTTAAGCAATCAAATTCCTAATTTAAATATCATAAAAAGAAATATCTCTTTAGTTAATATATTATCTGGTAAAAATAAGAAAAACTGTCAAACAACTTGTTATACCATATAATTTCTCGTGTGCTAAAGAATTTTGAAAATATTTATTTTCTCCGATGAAATGAAGGACGACAACTATCTGATGGTTATTTCACAAATCCTTCGTCTAAGCACGTCGCGATAAAGCTATCGGAAGTTTCTGGCATTGGGGAAGACAACAATCGCAGAGGCAGCTTGGATTAACGCTAGTGGAATTATTATCTACATAATGTATGCCATTTCGATCGTCCGTGCAAACTTCGCAACTGAGAACATTTGCGAGTAAAAAATGTTGGAGCAAAAAAAAAAAAAAAAAAGAAAAAGATATACATACACACACAATGGCAGCAGATTGAGTTAAAACTTTCATTAAATAAATTTGTACTTTGCATAAGATTTGATAGAAATCTGTATAAAAAATAATTACTTGTGTGTTTGAATAATTGCTTGACTTGTAAGCGTTATACGTTTACAAATGTCATGGCAAAATTATTCACACGACGTTGTATGAAATCGATATCGAAAAGGACGAAATGAGAACGGTCGTTAACGATGGCACATTATTTGTTAATTGCGATTCGTTGAAACAAATCAGATTTTATTTTCCGCGATAAATTTCTATAATACGATCCTGGTCCACGTACTCGAAAATATGAGGCGCGTCCATTAGGATCCCGACGGTACCCGCGGTCGTCACTATAAAGAAGATATAAAGTTGCAGTCGATCGATCACCATTGCAACGTATTTCCAATCCTCCCTTGTCTAGAAAAGAATGACGTTGAAGAGAAACAAAAGATTTAATAAAAGAAAGTTTTTAGTTGCGTTAAGTAAATCTACAAGTTTCTTCGCTTTATGTATATACCGTGAAGCTATAAAATATACATATATGTATATTGTATATAGCCAAGTTTATTACACAGGGTGTGGGTGTATTGTGAGAGATGAAGAGTTGCAAGATTCTTACCTGTATATACAAGTCCTCATTCCTGAGATGCTCCGCTATAAATTCGACAGCCTCGGTGGCCTTGCTGGCTTCCGGGCTGAGCAACACAGAATCCGAGCTCTCGGATCCTCTTCTGTCGCCCATGCCTTCTCCTCCTCCAGCAGCGCTGGAGCTGCTCGTGGTGTGGTGTACCTTACGATTGATCTTACAATTCGGATGGTGCAGATCGGACAGCTCCATCACCTCCATCTTTGACTTGGCCAAAGAGGCTGGCAGGTGTTTCGGCACCTCGGTCGGGCTCCCCGAATATGTGGAAGCTGGCAGTGTTACATTCGGTATCTCCATCATCCACCTAACGAAATCATGTCAGTTTATTCGAATAGTAACGTGGCGATAAATTACAAAATATCACAATTCGGACGTTTAATTAATTATGTTTTGTACTACATATTATATATATATATAATAATAAATATATTTATGCTGAATTGAATATGTTTTTTTTAATTGATATAAAATATTTAATTATAGATGTTCCTTGTATAATATATATTTTTTCAAAATAATCTCACCTCAATCGTGTTTTCTTTGGTCGCCTCATGAATAGAAGCGTTGGCAGATATTTCAGGAAGATCTTGCGTATAAGTTGAGGCATCCTGTGAGTTCTCGGTCCACGAAAATTCCAGTTGATAATGATAACAGTTACAAGGATACTGACAGTATTCATGATAAAGGTGAAGAGCAAATATTTAGCTATTAATGGCAGCACGAGAGAAGTTGGCGGCAGAATTTTGCTGACCAACAGGAGAAACACGACCAGAGATAGAAGAATGCTGATACCTAAAGTGACTTTCTCGCCGGCTTCCGCAGGAAGATAGAAGACAAGTACGCAGAGGAAAGAGATCAGAACTGTTGGCAGTATCAAGTTCACTGTATAGAAGAGAGTTTTCCTGCAGAAATAATAGAAACAAGATTTTCGAATTTTGTGACTAATATTTTTTTCAAGCGAATACAATTATAATGATGCAATATTGAAAGTAATAAAAATTAAAAATACGTACCTGCGGATAATTATGTAGAAAGTGATGTCTGTCTCCGTGGGAAAATCACCGTGATAGGTGTTAAGATACGCCGGGACGCTAATGATGTCCCATGTGCCACTTTTCCAATAATCAGACAGATCGACGAAATTTTTATCATTGTAAAGTGCAAGAGAGACTTGATCGCCATTGAAGGTCCACGAACCAAACTTCATGATGCATGTTTGCTGATCAAAAGGGAAATATGTGACATCGATCGTGCACGAGCTCTGATAGATCGCTGGCGGCACCCAGAGCACTTCGCCGTTCGGATATATCAACACGTTGCTTTTGTAACGAACCTCATAGTTACCATCAGCACTATAAACAAAATAGATATTATTTTAATATAGATATAATCAATCAGAAACAAATTTTATTTCATATTAAGAAATTAATAACTTTTGACTATCTCATTGCCAAGTTGTCTTGACGAACAAATATTTTTAAATGCAAACATTTTTAATTATTCTTACTTACGATTAATTAATAATTAGTTTAAAAAATTGCAAGTTTTAAACAAATATACATCAATATTTATATCTCAATTCTGATAAAAATATGATTAATAAACGCAGTTATTATAGTCAAAACTTCTTTTAATAAAAAATGCAAATAAATTTCTCGCATACTTATTGAATAACACAATATCCGGTTTCCACACTTTGTCGGGTGGTAATCTCAGAACACCAATTCCACCATAATCTGCTTCGTCCCATTGCAATTGATAGTCCATCCATACGAATCTCAACCATACGTTCGATTTCATGATCTGGTTTTTTTCATTCTAAAAAATTTTTTAAATTTATATAAGTAAAAATGTTTCAAGATTTCTTGAGGGAACAATAATTATTATACAATTATTATGTAATTTACAAAACAAAATTATTTTGTATAATTTAATTTTTTCTTATAAAGACTCCAACTAATATTATTTCGTGCGATAATAAAAACGGAGCAAGAGAATCTCACCACGTTAATCAACTGCACAAAGGCGAGGCCAAACCTCACGTGTACCTTCTCCGTCATATTTTGCACTGGTCGGATGAGTTTATTGTACCCTCTGAATAAATCTCGCACCAATCTCTCCTCATCTTCGGAGCACAGACCTGCAAGTGAAATAATTACCGCGATTAACAAAGACGGCTAAAGTTTGATAAACAAAATTTCGAATGACACGAAAAAAATAACACGTAAAATTAAAAACTCGCACGCGTTTATTTTGCTACCGCACTCTTTGCTTCTTTCGTCCTCATCGCATCAGGAAGCTTACACATCCAATCATGTTTTTGCACCTTTCTTAAAGCGCGCGAGCTTTACCTCAAGTTTCAGTTCGTCACCCCGGAAACGGCACACTTACCGACGCACAGGATCGCCGAGATCAGGAATAGTCGCACGAGACGCAAGCAGAAATACATTTTGGGCGGGTTCGTTGTGGGGTTGATTGTGGTCCCACCCGAACGCGCCGCGAGCACAGACACCACCGCCGCTACCGCCGCCGCCACGGATCAATATAGAAGCGCAGACGCTGGCCAATAATTGCATTTCCTTCCTTGCAACTCGACACACCGAACCCACCCTCGACAAGCGATCGCAACTCTCGTCATTGCACACCCTCTCACAATCTCTGGAGATTCATTGTCGAAGAGGCTGCCGAAACTCCCGTAACTGTTGTCATTCGGCAAAAGGATGTCGCCAGGGGAACGCGAAGAAACGCCACTGACTGTAGCGAAATTTTCAACACGCCGGAATGAGCTTCTGTTACTCGAGGGGTTGGCAACTAAGGGTGGTTGGCCGTTCTCGGTGTAGATACGCTGCTTTACCGAGGGATTCTGGACAAGTCGTGGATGATGGAATTATATAGAGAGGAACAGATCCCGTATGGATTTTTGGGGTCGCTACTAAATAGAGTTTTTACAAAAAAATTATTAAATAAAAATGTAAAAAAGAAAAATATTCTTTAGATTTATTATTATTGTATATACAATCGATATATAAAATAGAAGAAGGAAAATATAAAATAGAAAAAGTAGTCATTAAACTTGTTTTATATATGCGATAATCGAAATAATTATTATTATGATAATTATACACATATTCTTTAATATTTATTTTAATATTTTTCTTATTAAGACTTGCATCAAAGCTGATTGTGAGTATATGTAATGCGTTATTAGCAATTTGCGTATTTTTAAGTTATAGTAAAAAGTTGATTTTACATATCAAATAATATCGTTATATGCTAATATCTTATGACTTTATAAAGTAATTATTGAAATCTCCTATATTCCTATGTTTGCACATAAACCTTTAATATATAATTCGAAACTCACTGTGTGCAGGGAAAGCTAGGTTAAAGTTGTATATAATTATAGATTATTTCGAAACGCCCAACTTTCCGGTGACATATAGGCCACATTGCAGCAAAATGGCAATATATTACGAACAAGTTCCAAATTGTTTGGAAAACACACACATTCGAAACTTTCCTTACATATTATCCCTCATTATTATGCCAGCGCAGATGCATAACACGATATCTGATTTATAACAGATGTATAATTACGTATTATCACATAATATTATATAATATTGTCAATATTTTCTGCGAAAAATTACACGTTCCGCACCACAATATTTTTACACAGTTTTCTAAATTGAATTTTAAATTTACCATCATTTACATTTCTATTAGCTCGTTATCCATGCATTACATTTTCATAAAACACGATAATCGAATGACACTTGAGTAATCTAAAGATTACAATAATTTATAATGGCGATAAAGAATCTTAAACAAAAAATAAATTATTTTTCGATATTTTGTCAAGTTTACTGAGAATTTTGTACGATTTATCAACTTTTGGAAACTTTATTTTATATTTTATTTTAAATATACCTACATATTCTTTATCTATTTTGCCTTAATATATTTTATTTTGCAAATATCGTGACAATTTGTAAATTGCAATTAATTTTAATGCGTTGCAATTTCTCATCTAAATGATTTGTATTGAGTAGGTCTAAGTTTTTTACAAGTTATTTCAATATTTATTGTCAGTATTGCGCCAGTTAATTCGACCAAAGTGTAACAACTACTCTGTGGTAACGCTGCTATTTTGGCATAACATTGGTAAGATAGGACAATGTTGTACAGCTGAGCTAGTATTTCAAAGACAATACTAGTGCAGTTAGCACTAGCCGATATTGGACTTGCAGTTTAATTGTAGACGTAGAAACAAGATTATACACGTGTCTCTCAACATTCTGCTGCAAGATATTAAATATAATATTGTAAAACTCTTCTATCATTTTATTGTGATATATGTAGGTATATTAACATATTATTGTTATTTCAAATATCTTTAGTACTGTATTATATTGTTGCAGTTTAAATTTAAACCGAAATTTATTCTAAAAATATAAGAAAAATATTACAATTTGTATTATAAAATAAAAATGAATTATCTGGTCGGCATTATCTCTGTTTATTCTACTTAATCACTACCGCGGAGCGGTAGTCTCGAATTTATTCGACAATATCGGCAATTTTTCAAGTAAATTTTTATATCGCAAAAATATCGTAAAAAAATGTTGACAGCTACAGACAGGTAAGTCGTAGGGTTACATCAAAAGTAATCAGCGGCGCGGCGGCTTGATTAGCCAAAAACAATGAACTCTGGAAATTCCGAATAGACAGGATCGGGTAATAACGGCTTTGTAAAATAATGGCAAGCGAGATCCATAGTGTGTATCGCACCCTGCACACAGGAAACAAAGCCATCGTGCCGCTCGCATGCACGGAGTGGTCCAACTCCGCGAAGCTGCATACGCGCATCGAGACCATGCAGTATGCATTGGTACGCGTTATTGTTTGATTAAGCGCCATCCGCGCGCGATGCAACTGCATCGAAGCAAGGTGGTTTATGTATGATGAAGCACAAAACTTGGTCCAAACTGCAACGAAACCGCAATCCTCGTCCACTTTTCACCGACAACTTTTTCGGAGAAAATATTTGCAGTCGCGAGTACAATCCGCTTTCTGCGGTCGTGCATGCGTTCGTCGCCTCCAGAAAGAACTCTTCAAAGACTATAGTATTTTATACGCGTTCGCGGCGAAACAATATTTCAAACTCGGTTGTAAGCTCAACTGAATAATTGTATTCAATTTTATTTGAGTAATTGTGAATAGACATATGACTAATCCTTAGTTTTAGAATTTACTCTTTTTGTGCAAAATAAAATTATTAAAAAAATATTCAATGAAATATATATATATATATATTTGTATGATATATTATGTAAGAGATAATTAATTTGAAGATAGCATAATTTTAATTGCATGTTGGAAAACAAAATATTGAATACATATATGTATGTATACATATATATTAGCCAATTATGAAAAATATTAGAAAACATTTTAAAAATTATACCTTTCTCTACTTTAATTTTTTAATTAAACTGCAGGAAACAGCGTGATACCCAAGCATTTACCTATATTTGAAAAAACTTAATCCTCTTTGGAGAATCATTACCGTACATTACTAGAGAGCCACTTCTCGGTACTAACAACTTGGTTTTTTTAATGAACACACACAATTGCGCGAGCAGGACGAGTATTTTTTTTCGGCCGTGCATTTAAAAAGACCACACTCGCCGGACCACAGAAAGCCATACGCTCGCCCACAAAAATAAAGTATAAAAATTGTCGCTTCTGTTTGTATAGTTTGTTCGCATTAAGGCGTGTGTTTCTCAGCGCGTGCTATTTTATAAAATTTCTCGCGCGCTGCTCATTGCGTAACTATAAAAATTTAGTGACGATAAAACGTGTCGGATTTTATCACTCATAATGCAGAAAAATACATAACCGATTGTCCTATGAGCATGTCAAGATAGTCGTAAAAAACATGTTACTGTTATATTCAGGTGCCACGGATAAAACAAGGCAGTTATATGCGATGAAATTGATGAAAATACGATGAAATCGATTATTTTTATGTTTATGTAAATCGATGAGCTCGAATACTATTATCAGGAAAATGGAACACTTATTTATTTTTAATGCTGTATTTGTTATGTAAACCTTCTTGTAAATATTACTTGTTAAATATTATCAAGTAAACTAAAATCTACGTATAGTATCTTTTACTGCAAAAATCGATTTTAATTCAAGTAATCGTATATATCTAAATATTTTATAAGTATATTAAAAAATGTAGATAAAAACAATAGTATATTTGTTTCATTATATGAAAATACAATCTTGACCAAATTTCTATTATTTATATAATACAATTACAATTATTTACATAATAGAAATACGCCAAATTAAAATTAGGTAATATGCATAATAAAAAATCAATAATTAAAATTATGTATATAATAAAAAATTAAAAATTAAAATTATGTGCATAATAAAAAGTCGGCGAATTAAAAAAATGTTCATAATATAAAAATATAAATTCGACGAATTAAAATTATGTACATAATAGCTAATAATAGGTGGTAGCTAGTGGTAAGAACTGTGCTACAGAACTATAAAACTCATCGAAACTTATAAATTTCATTGTTCAGATTTGAAAAATGTGAAATGATGTGCAAACTTTCAATCCAAGTTCACTTTCCAAATTTTAGCACTTTTCACTTTCCACTTTTCACATTTCCAAATTTCAGAGAATAAGAAAAGTGTATAAAATTGGACTGAGCTGTTGAAAGTCGATCAGCATCTCACATATTTCCGAGAATAAGCGGTCTCGCGAGCAAGTAACATTATTTTTTAAATAGTTGCAAGCCTGTTTAAATAGTTGCAAGCTCTGAACTCTTTAGAAAATAATTATTTGTTGCAGAGAATATAAGAAAATAATATAAAAATTGATAGAACTTTAAAAATATATCAGCATCTCACACTTAAACGAGTAATATTCGATATTTTCTGTTTTTTTTTTTTAGAATCTACGGTCAAAATTATGCTACTGAACTATAGAGCTCGTCGAAAACTATAAATTTTCATGGTTCCAGTTTAAAAAACGTGAAATAAGATGCTAACCTTCAGAACATGTTAGCATCTCATTTCACAATTTATATACTTAAATACCTATTATATATACTTAAAAATTTACGAAAATTAGAATTTCGAGAAAATATTTTTCTCTCTCTCTTCTAACTGTGGATTATGCATTTATCGAGTATTTTACGCGCGTCCACGTTCAAACATCAAAATGTAAGTTTCATTAAAAATGTTACTTTGTGATGCAGTAAGAGCCCCGATAGCAGCATTGAATTTACAGAATCCAAGGGAACGACGAGGATCAAACGGGCAATGAGCGGGTTAACGTCAATCTCCACGTAAATCGCAGACAAATGACCACTTCAGCATATGTTCGGACGACCCCTTTGTCTTCCTGGATATCGTTCACCTATCGATCCCGTGCCGGTCAATATCTGGTCGTTCTCAATTAACCGCCAAGCTACCGATCCAGTATTCCCGTAGCAAACGCCTTAATCCTTCCGCATCCAGCTAGACACGTACATTGGCTTGTCGGTTGATCAAACCGACTCTATTAATCGGCTCTAACAAACTCGAATGCGGATTAAAGCTTTCAACACAAGTGTCTGTCGCTGTCGAACTCATCAGTGATCTGTTAAACCATACTTCGATTGTTGGATCTAATGTAATTTTTTTTTAAACAAAGATATCTCTTTCGTTACTTGATTATCTTCTAAGAATAGAATGAGATTTAAATTTTTAAATTTCGTAATTTGTAGAAAA